CAGACATGGACCGTTTCCCAATCCCTCTTAGTTACCTTCAGCCCACTGAAACTCAAAGTACTGTTCTTCGTGCTTAAGCTGCAGAAGCGCTTGTGTTGCTGTCACATCTGTCTAGTACACCAGAGTCTTTTCCCTTCAGGGATCTTCTCCATGTCGCCTACCAAAAGCCAGTTTGGAACTCACTTGATGTTTACATGGCAAATATGAGAGGGGCCAGAGCTATCCTCAGCTTCTCCTTAGCTCAGACCAGTCCAAGGCCAGGCAGATATCAGCACTCAGTGCTGTTGGAAGGGTCCACAGCCTCTCTTGTGCCACAGCAGCTCAGCCCTGCTGCCCTGCTGTCATCCACAGAGCCCTGTCCTGCAGACACAAGGCAGGTGGATTCTTTTCAGTTTCCAGGGAAAACACAACCCTTACTCTCTATGGACTGGTCACTTTGTCTTTGCATTTCACTCTTCACACAATGCCAGTGTTTACTGAACATCACTTGGTTTCATGGACAGCTGAGCACTCACGTGTTCCTGCTCTCCCACCACATCCCACTCACCCAGCAAGTCCCCCAGGAAACAGCACAGGACAGTTGTGTAGCTCCATGAGTGCATTGCAGTGTGCAGAGACACGTGATGGGCAGTTGTAGTTTTGGTGATTGTAGGACAACCATCCCCAGCTGTTTGCCAAAGGTGAACATTCCCATGCAGCGTAATCCTCTCGGTTGCTTCCAGGTTATCAGATGCAGAGCTGCTGTTGCCTGGGCCGTGGGCAAAGAACTCTCTGTTGAGGAGGTGGAGGTTGCGCCTCCAAAGGCAGGTGAAGTCCGGATCAAGGTAAAAAGACATTTCAATAATTTTTTTCTCCCTTGCAGGAATTGCACTTCTTGTGGCTATAATTTGGATATAACCAAATGATAGCCACAAGACTATAACCCATGTAATAAGGCCTGGGGTCTGCCCATAGGCCTTAACTGTCCAGAAAAGTCCTGTGGAAAATCATTCCACAAATTCAGTTAAACAAAGGCTGGGCTATTTCTATAGTTCATCATCTACTCTTTCCCCTCCAAACAGATTGTGGCCACCGGCATCTGTCACACAGATGAACACGTTTTGAAAGGTTGCTTTCCTAATGTGGAATTCCCAGTTATCCTAGGCCATGAAGGAGCTGGGATTGTGGAAAGTGTTGGAGAAGGAGTGACCTCTGTGAAACCAGGTAATCAATGCACACCCAAACACATGCACACAAGTCAGCCCTCAAAGTGGATGAGGCTGCCAACAGCTCAGAAATTTCTCTCCATTCCTGAGTCAGTGGCTCAACATCTGAGTGCACACTCATTGCACTGTCACATACACTTTCCTGGTCTGTTCCTCATGTACATGAGTGGGGCTTAGAGCAATTCATCCTGACAGAGGAAGGCAAGGGTTTGTGGTGGGTTGCTGCAATTGGAAAGCTCAGCAGAGGTGCTCCAGCACCGTCAGGGCCTGCTTAGCAAGAGGTACCAAAAAGGGATCCACTTTGTTGCAGGAGACAAAGTCATTCCCCTTTGCCTCCCTCAGTGTGGGGAATGCAGCTTCTGCCTGAATCCTGAATCCAATTACTGCCTGAAATGCCAGTGAGTTTGCTTCACCTTCCCCTACACCTACATGGGGTTGGCTGTCTGACAACAAGTCCGACACCCCCCCATCAGTGCTTTAGTCAGTGAAATACAAAAGATTTCTCCTCTCCACAGTCTCTCTGAACCACAAAACCTGATGCCTGACAAAACCACCCGGTTCACTTGCAAAGGGAAGCAGATCCACCACTACCTGTGGGTCAGCACCTTTGCAGAATACACCGTGGTCCCAGAGTACGCCGTTGCCAAGATAGATCCTGCAGCACCTCTGGACAAAGTCTGCTTGCTCGGCTGTGGGTTTTCCACAGGCTATGGGGCTGCCATCAACACNAATCCCACTCTCTGCTCCTGCTTTGGCAGGAAATAGAGCTCTTCCATCTTGCAGCCACTCATCTCCTGCATTCAGCCTTGTCCACGGCGATACATTTTTCAAGCTTCAAGCTCCATTTTGCTGATGTCAGAGCAGTTTTGGGTTGATTGGGGCAGGATTTGTGTGATGTCACACACAAAGCATCGCTTTGGTAAGGCAAGCAATTATCCAATTGCCAGCCAGACATGGACCGTTTCCCAATCCCTCTTAGTTACCTTCAGCCCACTGAAACTCAAAGTACTGTTCTTCGTGCTTAAGCTGCAGAAGCGCCTGTGTTGCTGTCACATCTGTCTAGTACACCAGAGTCTTTTCCCTTCAGGGATCTTCTCCATGTCGCCTACCAAAAGCCAGTTTGGAACTCACTTGTGTTCATGGCAAACATGAGAGGGGCCAGAGCTATCCTCAGCTTCTCCTTAGCTCAGACCAGTCCAAGGCCAGGCAGATATCAGCACTCAGTGCTGTTGGAAGGGCCCACAGCCTCTCTGGTGCCACAGCAGCTCAGCCCTGCTGCCCTGCTGTCATCCACAGAGCCCTGTCCTGCAGACACAAGGCAGGTGGATTCTTTTCAGTTTCCAGGGAAAACACAACCCTTACTCTCTATGGACTGGTCACTTTGTCTTTGCATTTCACTCTTCACACAATGCCAGTGTTTACTGAACATCCCTTGGTTTCATGGACAGCTGAGCACTCACGTGTTCCTGCTCTCCCACCACATCCCACTCACCCAGCAAGTCCCCCAGGAAACAGCACAGGACAGTTGTGTAGCTCCATGAGTGCATTGCAGTGTGCAGAGACACGTCTTGGGCAGCTGTAGTTTTGGTGATTGTAGGACAACTGTCCCCAGCCGTTTGCCAAAGGTGAACATTCCCATACAGCCTAATCCTTGGTTGCTTCCAGGTTATCAGATGCAGAGCTGCTGTTGCCTGGGCCGTGGGCAAAGAACTCTCTGTCGAGGAGGTGGAGGTTGCACCTCCAAAGGCAGGTGAAGTCCGGATCAAGGTAAAAAGACATTTCAATAATTTTTTTCTTCCTTGCAGGAATTGCACTTCTTGTGGCTATAATTTGGATATAACCAAATGATAGCCACAAGAATATAACCCATATAATAAGGCCTGGGGTCTGCCCATAGGCCTTAACTGTCCAGAAAAGTCCTGTGGAAAATCATTCCACAAATTCAGTTAAACAAAGGCTGGGCTATTTCTAAAGTTCATCATCTACTCTTTCCCCTCCAAACAGATTGTGGCCACCGGCATCTGTCACACAGATGAACACGTTTTGAAAGGTTGCATTCCTACTGTGGAATTCCCAGTTATCCTAGGCCATGAAGGAGCTGGGATTGTGGAAAGTGTTGGAGAAGGAGTGACCTCTGTAAAACCAGGTAATCAATGCACACCCAAACACATGCACACAAGTCAGCCCTCAAAGTGGGTGAGGCTAACAACAGCTCAGAAACTTCTCTCCGTTCCTGAGTCAGTGGCTCAACATCTGAGTGCACACTCATTGCACTGGACTGTCACATACACTTTCCTGGTCTGTTCCTCATGTACATGAGTGGGGCTTGGAGTAATTCATCCTGACAGAGGAAGGGAAGGGTTTGTGGTGGGTGGCTGCAATTGGAAAGCTCAGCAGAGGTGCTCCAGCACCCTCAGGGCCTGCTTAGCAAGAGGTATCAAAAAGGGATCCACTTTGTTGCAGGAGACAAAGTCATTCCCCTTTGCGTCCCTCAGTGTGGGGAATGCAGCTTCTGCCTGAATCCTGAATCCAATCACTGCCTGAAATCCCAGTGAGTTTGCTTCACATTCCCCTACACCTACATGGGTGACAACAAGTCTGACACCCCCCCATCAGTACTTTAGTCAATGAAATACAAATGATTTCTCCTCTCCTCAGTCTCTCTGAACCACAAAACCTGATGCCTGACAAAACCACCCGGTTCACTTGCAAAGGGAAGCAGATCCACCACTACATGTGGGTCAGCACCTTTGCAGAATACACCGTGGTCCCAGAGTACGCCGTTGCCAAGATAGATCCTGCAGCACCTCTGGACAAAGTCTGCTTGCTCGGCTGTGGGTTTTCCACAGGCTATGGGGCTGCCATCAACACCGCCAAGGTTGGTGTTCAGGCGTGTCGAGCACCCCAAGGCTGCCCTCACACCCTCACCAACCCCTCTCCTCCTCCTCCTCCTCCTCCTCCCGCTGGAGACTCACAGGGCCCTGTGCTGTGCAGGTAAAGCCAGGCTCCACCTGTGCCATCTTCGGCCTCGGAGGAGTTGGCCTCTCTGTTGTCATGGGCTGCAAGGCAGCTGGAGCTTCCCGCATCATTGCCGTGGATATCAACAAGGACAAGTTTGCCAAGGCCAAGCAGCTGGGAGCCACCGACTGCATCAACCCTCAAGACTGCCAGAAGCCCATCCAGGAGGTGCTCACTGAGATGACAGGACAGGGTGTGGACTACTCCTTTGAGGCCATTGGCCTCAAAGAAACCATGGTAGGTGGCATTTTGGCACGTGTCTTCCCTCCCAGATCAGTCACAGGCTGCCATCACGGAAAAATTCACACAGGTGGGAAATTCCTTGCCTGCTGCCTGCACTGCTGGGCACACCTTTGTGAGAGAAAGCTGTGTACAGGACCTAAAAGAGGCCTTGAACTCTCAGTGTCTCCTGCACAAGGGAGGATGTGTTTTCAGATGAGCAGATGACAGCTCAGAAAGAACACTTTCCTGACCAACTCGACAGTGCTTTCTCTAACTCATGTCCCTGTCCCATCAGATTGCTGCCCTGGCCTCCTGCAATATGAGCACTGGCATCTGTGTGATGATTGGGGTACCGGATATGGCTTCAGAGATTTCCCTTGATCCTATGCTTCTGCTGACTGGGCGTACATGCAAGGGGTCACTGCTTGGAGGTATGAAAGTTAAGAAAACATTTTAGAAATTTCAGCTTTTCCTTTCATGGTAGCTTACAAATCCTACTAAAAGAGGATTTTCATGAAGAAGTGAACTTAAGAGGAGCACTGCATTAAAGAGTAGCATTAAAAATGCTAATAAAAATGCTAATAAACGTGTATAGTTCATACAGTATAACACATAAAACTGTCTCTGCTATCCCACCCATTCCAAAGAGGGGAAATTACCACACAAGAGAGTGGCACCAGTACTGGTCCCTCAGTCCTGACCCTCACAGTGACACTCCCTTCCCAAAACTGCATTTCTCTCATCATTCACTGTAGCTGCTTGCTCTTCTTTCTAGGCTGGAAGACGAGAGATTGTATGCCCAAACTAGTTTCCAGCTATTTGGAGAAGAAATTCAATTCAGACTTGCTGATCACGCACACGCTGCCCTTCGCTGAAGTGAACGAGGGATTTGAGTTGTTACGGGCAGGAAAAAGGTGAGACCCTGACTAGCAGGAGTGAGGCACAGCAAACAGCACCTCCTCCTAAAAGTCAAACAGCCCAAATGCTCTGGCAGGCAGAGCACACAACACTGTCTTCTCAAAAAGCACCTGAGTCTTTTGAGGAAGCAGGGCCCAGAGCCAGGTGTGGGGACAATCTGCCATAACGCAGAGGGAAGAGCCCACGTTCAGCACAGGGAACCCTGCAGCTCATGGTTCAGCTCAACTGAGATCCTGTGGCCTTATCACCTGAGGGGTTCCCTTCAGCAGAGATTCGAAGGCTCCCCCAGTGCTGCACGTCTCATGCAGCTGAGTGAGGAAGAGGCTGGAGGGAAAGAAGGCAGCCGGTCCCCAGGCACACCTGCCGACCCCGCTGCCTGCTCCTGAACTGCAGCACCAGTAAACCCTCCCTTCCCTTCCACTTTTCAGTATTCGCAGCGTCCTGCTCTTCTGAGGGACACAGCCATGGAAAGCTGAGAGGAGGCACCAGCCCAGCAGATGCTCTCCTGGCCCAGCCCCTTCTCAACCAGCCCCTCACCGAGTGGGGCACAAGGAGATGAGAATAAGGAACTCGCTTATGCTGGTGTTGCTGCTGGTCCTCCTGTGCCCAGGCAAGACCCAGAAGCTGACAAGACCCAGACCTCTTCTGACAAAATGCTTTTACCAATAAAGGGTTTCAGTCAAACTCGTCCCATGCAGTGCACTCAATCAACAGAGGTCCCACGGGGCACGAGGAGCTCCTCCTCATCCCGCAGGCCCTTCCACCACACCCCTGGTCTCAGCAGTGAGCAGCTGCCTTTGCCCCTCCACTGCCACTGCCTCCCACCTTCACCCACCTCAGACAGCTCTGTCCCCAGCTCTGGCACCTCTCTGTCCCCATCTCAGCTGGGTGAATGCTGCAGCCTCAACCAAAGTCCAGCAGGTAAATCACCGCTCCTGCTGCTTCTGCTGCTGCTGCTGCCACTCTCTGGTCTCGCTCACAGGACCCCAGTGTGTTCTGCTACTTGAAGTGATCCCCACACCAAACCTGTCACTCCAGTACCTTTCAGGCTTTTCTAATAGGAGAGATACTCCAGGCCACTAATCATCTTTATGGCCCTTTGCTGGACAAATGTTCTTGTCATACTCTCCTTTAATATGACTTTATCTCTGTGAGGGGCAGTTTAGCAAAAAGCAAGGGAAGAAAACTTTCCCAAATTTCTCTTCCGCATGAGGTCAGTTTCTATGGGGATTCCAAAAAAGCTACAGAGCCAACCAATTAAACTAACACTTTCAAGGCCTGCCAAAGGAGAGCAGTGCCACTAAGCTGATAAACAGCCCACAGCGATAGGATTGCCCAAAGCCCTAATGGAACAGGAACATCTAAAGACTATAAGTGAATACTACATATATCCAGGTTCCTTATCACCGCTGGTTTGTGTTTGTGGGTTGGGCTTTTTTCTTTTCTCTAAAACAAACTTTCACATGGTTGATATTCTTTGTTGCAGCAATCAAACTGTCCTTGTTTTTTAAGGATTGATCTCAATTTTTGAAGATTCTCACTTGAACTTAAACCTTATTTTTGGCTGGTCTTACTATTTAACAAAATTATTTAATATTTAATAAATTTGTATTAAGAATGAATGTGTATTTAACAAAGTGCAGCTCACACAAATATGGGATGGTTAGCATTGAAAAGAAATAAGGGACAGTAACTAGCACTATACTATTTGAAGCATATTATATAAAGCAGGAGATAACTTTCTTATTATTGTTTAACTCTTATACATGCATAAACAGATGTGGTTTCATTTTGGAAAATGCTGTTGTACTTTTAATATATTTCCAGGACCAACTTCTATAGAATATTACAGTACAACTATGCAAAATCTTCCCCAGAGAACAAGATTATCACTCCAAGCCGGTCATTCTGCCAAATGGACCCTTCTTTCGGTGCTGAATATTGGACCCATAAAACTATAATGCCTTTTGACCTCTTTTAGGCAACTCCTATCCCAGCCCATAGCCCTTTGAACTTTTGGAAACCCCTCAGCACAATCAGCAATTACACAGCATATCATAAACGCACAAACAAGCGTTCAAAGGTTAACAAATCCCATGCTGTCTGCCAAATTATAATAACTGCACATATCGCTTTGCCATTACATAAGCTACCCATAATTCTCTTAACTACTTTTTAAACATAAAACTATAAGACTGCAGGTAAGGAGATAACACCAAAATAAATCAATAAATGTTAATTAATTGAGTTCTAGTACTTACCTACTGAGAAAACACTACAAGAAGTTTCTTCCAATAAGCAATGTTTCCCTAACACTGCACGTGCATCTTCAGAGTCTTAATTTTATGAGTGACAAAGTCTCGAAAAAAGTAATCAATTAGCCGAGTGTTTGTGTAATAAATATAAACACATATAAATAGATCTGTGCAGCATCGGCACCAAAACCAAAAATCCTTTTTTGAAAAAAATGCTAAAACTAGATGATACAAAATTCGATCGCTATAAAATAACTCTGCCTTACGACAACTGTAACTTGCACTTTTATCACTTACTTTGCACTGTTGCTACATGAGCTCTGTCGCTATAGCAGGGCCACCTGGTGGCCACCTGTCCCGGCTGTCTGGGTATGCTGTCCCACCGGCTTCTGAACATGCTGGAAGACCTGGATTTCTGCACGGCTGAAGCCCCCTCCTGTAGCACACGCCCGTGGCCGAGGTTTATCCAGCTTCCAGCCCCGCACGCCGCCCTGCCACCCTCATTCCTAAGCTCTGCTCCCAGCTGCCACACAACGGGTGCCACAAGGAAGCTGTTCAGCTGCCCTTGCCTCGAGCCAGCAGATGTGTTACTGCATAACCCTTTCCCCCTTTTTATCTTTCAAATTTTCCTTGCATTAGTATAATACTAACATATGAGAATCAGCATATATTAGATCACCTTTTTTTGAGTTTTATTTGATTTTCAATGAGAATATTTAATCACAAAACCCCCCAAATTACTTATGTCCGTATCTAAAATATTAAAAATCTTTCAGTATCCCAGCTTCATGTGTTTACTGCAAAACTGTCATGGTCATTTTCACACTTATTTTGAATTCGTCTAATTAATATAGGCCTTTGTTTTGAAATGTTATTTTACTCTATTATACAGAATGATACTAGGGTTAATTAGCGACATTATTCCTAAAGTTTTTCCCTTGGAACCAATCATTTCTTGAATTACCAGATAATATTTTAAATTTATATTTGTGTTTACAAAACCAGAGTATTTTAATTACCTAAGAATTATCCAAGAAAATATCAACCAACTTTGAGCATTTTTGGACTTAGTCTCCCACTGCATCAAGGGAGGTTTAGGTTGGACTTTGGGATCAATTTCTTTACAGAAATGGTGATTAAACATTTAAATGGCTGCCCAGGGAGGCAGTGGAGTCACCAGCCCTGGAGGTGTTTAAGAAAAGATTGGACATGGCATGTAGTGCCAGGGTCTAGTTGACAGGGTGGTGTTTAGTCATAGGTTGGTCTCAACGATCTCAGAGGTCTTTTCCAATCTAATTTATTCTGTAATTCTAAATTAAAATAATTTTGATTTTTTAAATGTTTCCTTTTTTCAACCAGCTATATTTATACTTTACAAAAATAAATTTATGCTGACTTGAAGAATGAAAAGAATTTCTAATTATTTTTTTTATGCTATGCAAGTATTATCCTCTGATACTTCACAGGAAAATCTAGGAAACGTAAATCAGAATTCAAAATGCTGGTTTTGAGAAACAGACAACATCCACCAAGCAAGAACATGATTGCCAGGACTCTCTCCTACATGTGGTCTCACAGTGCTTCTAAGCCCTCCTTTTTCCTCAATTCAAATTGATATTCCAAATTAGCACCTAACATCTGCTAGAACAACACCAAAACCAACCCAGTGTAAAATCCAGAGCAGCACTGGGAGCCCTCACCTACAGAACTTATGTACATAAACCTGAAACACACATGACAAAGCATAAATAGTTCAGTCAAGAGCACAGAATGGTAACTTGATTTAAGTGCATGGTGCTGAGAACAGAAAGAAACTTGCAAAACCACTTCCTGTGTCCAGGGGCTTCCAGTAGTACACAGCAACACTGGAGGCAGCATTACAAAACTGCAAAGGAAAGAAAAATGAAAAGCAACCCCTTTAATTGCTGAAATTGGACAGTGAGCATTAAGGAGTTATGATTTATGTATCTGTCCCTATGCCTACCAAAATCAGTGCCTGCAATTTCCAGAATGTCAAAGATACTAACAAAAGCAGAGCACCTGCAGAGTTCAGCTAAACGTAAAATGCTTGGAGACTTTTTGGAAGCACTGACAAACCGGGTGTGGCCAAGAGCACAAAATTCACAGGAGAGGTTGGCAGAACTGTATTTAACCAAGGACATGGACAAGGCCTGCTATGATTTCAACAACAAGGATTTGGTGGTAGCTCATGAACACAAACTGAAGAAGCCACTGGAAGCCTTAAGAAGGCCATTGGACAGATAGCCTGATCACACATGCTTTCAATCCTTCTCAACATCTTTCACCGTATGCGAAACCTATATAATACTCTCATTGCCCAAATTACATTCCACCTAAGTGTCAGCTTTCCTGAGCCTACAGATTTAGTTTGTAATTTTAGTTATGTTATTAAACATTATGTTATTTTTATGTTATTTATTAAATGCTATAGTTATGTCATGTTATTAAAGTTTAATTTCTCCCAAGCTGTTGCTATTGCCTAACTGTGGTATTTGCTAAGCTTTGTTAGTGTGTCACTGGAAAATAAAAATTCCATTTCTTACTGAGGGGTACTTAGTTACACTTTGCAATTCCTCAAGCACCAGCACCTCTCATGTAAAATCCCAAGAGCCCATTGCAGAACCATTCCCCTGATCTTACACGGCCATGTCTGCAGGCCTCACAAGAAGCCTTTCCTACCGTACCAGGAGAAAGAAGGTTCTTCAGAAAATTAAACAACAGCGTGAGGAGTTTAACAATCCCATCTTGTATAAATAGCCCCTTTGCTTCAAAGGTTGGTGGATGCAATGTCAAGAGGCCCAGCCAAAACTTCCATCTCACTGCAGATCCCTTAGCCTGGCCTGGAAAGGGGCTGTCTTCACACAGTTGGAAACACACTGCTGCCCAGTAAAGCCTCCACCTCTGCAGTTTAGCCAGCTGAGAATAGATTTAGGTGCAAAGGACCTGCACTGGAGATATAGTCAGCTCCCACCTGTGTCCAGGTGAGATACAGGAGGTACCAAGCATCTCCAGAGTGGGACTGTCCCGCAGAGGCAAGGCAGGCACATGCACGCAGGGCTGAGTTCCTCAGGGAATGGTGCAGGAGGGGTCCATGATCTTCCGTTACTCGGGAAGAATCTGGGCAACCTGGTGCCGGCAGGATCTGCAGACAAGGCTCATTAGCCAGGACAACGGGCCTCTTCCCTCACAGGCAGAACAACATGCCCGTGAGACTGATGGGACCAGGATGTGAGACGCTGCTGCAGCCGCCAGAAGCCACAAAAGCAGCCACATCGCAATGCAACACTGCGGCCACCGTCAGGAAACACACGGATCTTCCCGGGGTCTGCGGGAAAAAAAGCACTGCAACGGGAATGTGACCGGCCGCGGGCGCTCCAGCCCTGCGAGGGACGGAGGGAGGGAAGGGAAGGGAAGGAAAAGGAAAAGGAAAAGGAAAAGGAAAAGGAAAAGGAAAAGGAAAAGAAGTAAGGAAGTGAAGGAAGGAAAGAAGCGAACTGAGGGAGGGAGGGGCCAGTTCCTTCGACCGCCCCAGGGGGAGAGGCGGAGAGAGGGAGGCGGGCTCCCTTTCCCCTTCCGGCGGGAGGCCGAGCTGTGCGCGATGGCGAGCGGGGTAAGGAGGCTTGCGCGGGTCTGCGTTCCGTGGTGGGAATGTCGCCCGGGGTCCCGCGGGGGTTCCCGCGCAGGGCAGGATGAGGCGGGCGAGCCCTGCCCTGCCTCCCTGCCGGTGCCGGCCGTGCCGGGGGGCTGCCCTCGGCCGGGGTTGCGGCCCTGCCCGCCCTGCCCGCCTGCGCCTGGCGCTGCCCAGCGGGAGCCGGGACACGGGAGGTGTCCCAGTGTCTCCGCGCTCCCGCCCCCGCCTGTTTTGTGGATGTGAGGGTCGCGGCGATGGAAGGACAAGCAGAAGACCTTGAGCTTGGCGTGGTTTCTTGTGGGCTTTGGGCAGATGTGACCGACTTGTGTCGGAGGAGGGGGTGCTTGCTCAGAAAGCCATTGCCTGGCAGGTTCGCTGCATTGCTCTACGAACAGCGCGGTAGTCCAGACCTAGTGCTAATCCTGCGCCTAATTCCTGCAGCTGCCCTGGGCCCGAGCGGGATGGGTGGCCTCGCTTGGCCGGACGCTCCCGGTGGTTTCGGAGCAGATAGGGCAGCTCGGTTTCGTCTGAGAGAGCTGATCCTGTGTGTAGCTACAGGCAACTCAAGAGCTGTGCTCCTGGACTAGTGTGTTAATAGAGAAGATGAAGAACTGCTAAAAGTTGGTGCTTTGGGTTTTTTTTCCAGTCGTTGGTTTCGAGATTTTCAGCAAAGCAAAAGCAGAGAGATTCGAATAATGAGGGGGCAGAAGATGGGGCTTTCCTGATATCCACTCTGAATAGTCCAGGGGCCTTTGTGGCTGTGTGAACTGACTGCAGTTTCAAAACCCAGCTTCTTTAAAAGTTTCTGAACCAGAAGTTACTGTTTGAAAATGTGCTTCCAGATGTGTACTCTTGGGTTTAGGAGGATCAGAATTTATCCCGTAAGGAGACTGTTTTTCCTTCCCTCTTTAATTTCGCGTTTAACTAAGCTTGTGGAAATAACAGTTTTAGGAATGCGCAGTCTCCTGTGCAAGAACAAGTGATGACTTAACGAGGGAAAGATGAGGGATAGATTGAAAATCAGTAAATGATTTACCGAATGATGGCTCCTCTTGCACTTTGTGCTTTGAATTTAGATTTTCTGGCAAAATCTTTGGTAGATTTAGAGATTATGACCGATTGCTCACATTACTTTGGCACAATCTGTGCATTTTTGTAATATTTACCCTGGTAATAAAAAGCAGGAGAAGGAGATTTCATGTTTCTAGGTTAAGGGTGTTTGTGTCTAATCTAGATCCTGCTGGCTGTAGGAATGGATACCTGTTTTCTGTTACAAAGCTTTTAGGGCTTGCAGTATTTATTTTACCAAGTTTAAGCCAAGGTAAACATCTGCAATTCTGCTGTTACAGGTACACTGAGGATTTTAAGTGGTTCTGGCAAAGTCTCATATTGTTTGTTGTACGACAAAAGTACAACAGAAAGTCATAGACTAGCCATTATTTTCTCCTGATCACAGGTGCTGAATCAGACCTGCCAAGTGCAACAGGTGGTCTTGCCACTGTTATTTCTTCCAGACAGTGAAATTTCAAAAAGGCTGGGTGACTGTATATTTGGTCTTGGGAATTTGCATTAATCCCCTTTCAGTGATTCCATGGGAACACCACAGCTATTTTGAATGCCAAAATGTAATTTTCTTCTATTGGTTTATAGAGCATCTTATGAAATGCTTCATATTTCCAATAGCAATGGCCTAGACCTTGTTTAACTGGAAGAAAATCAGTGCAAGTCTCTGCTCTAACTGAATTATTCCAAAATACATGCACACCATTCTGGAGTAGATTGCATTCCAAAGCAGTCTAGTCTGTGACAGCATTCCTTGTCAGGTTTTATGTAGATAAGGTCTTGAATTTGATGTCACAACTCATCTGTGTGTCATTTAAGAAGCTATTCAATACCGTATTTGCTGAAAGATGTTCCTGTCAGAAAGCACAATTCAGAGTATTTGATACACTGCCCACTTCATCCTGAAGGACCGACCTGGAGTCATCTTTGTAAAACCGACCTCCTAAGGGGATTCCAGATTCTTATCCTTTTAGCACCTGAATCTGTAATGCCTGCTGATTTTCTTAGTCAGTTGTGCATATGTACCTGTCAACAGGGTTTACAAATCCAGAAGCTCTGCTCTTTCATCCAGGCTCTGCACCATTGGGCTTCAGAAGCTTCCTGAGGTGTTTGGTATGGTTGCAGAGCAGGATTTGTCACAGCAAGTGCCAAGAGCAGCAGATGAAGACTTGCTAACAGTAAATCCATGCAGAGTTGTTGGTGCACAGTAACTCGCTCACAGGAGCCTTATAGCAAAGTTTCTCTGGTCCCTACGGATTATTGCAGGGCTCTGCTGCATGCACACACATCTCCTTGCCAAAATCCTACTTGAAAACCATAAGAAATTCACTCTTGATGGGTGTGTTGGACCATTATGTGTCTTCCAGTTTCCTTTATGAACTTTCTTAACTTCGAACACTCTGTGCTTAAGGAATATACATGAAATGAATGCCAGTCTCTTACTTTAAATCAACATTTTTATTATGCATTATTACATTTATTATGCATTATATATTTATTATGCATAATCTTTGCATTCCTACTGCTCACTTCACTGCAGTATTTGAGCGTCTCCTAAGCACTCCCGGGCTTATTATATTTTTTGCTCAGTAAGAGAATGACATCCAAATTTCAGATCTTGGTTTGCTCATTATTATTTAGCTTCCTGAAAGCAAATGTGGGGCAATTAAACCTTTGTGTTGAAATTATGAATTTCAGATCTGGGACTCTTTCCAAAAGTCAGTAGTGTCTCTCTCATTTTCTCACTTGGCTGAACAAGAATTATTTTAAATGAACCATACAACAGATGTCCTATTTTCTGTTGTTGTTTTTGTCTTTTAGGTTATTAAATGCAAGGCTGCTGTTGCCTGGGGGGCAGGTAAACCTCTCTCTATCGAGGAGGTGGAGGTTGCTCCACCAAAAGCTCATGAAGTTCGTATCAAGGTAATTAAATCATTTGTTATCTATATGTATTGTATTTTGGGAGACTAAGTGTTAAAGCTGAACAATTTGTTTGCCAACAGAAGAAATGTTGGATAGCATTAGTTCATTAGTATCTCAGCTGGCCTTACAAATAACAAAATTATAGTATTTAGATCTTCTTTTTGTGAAAAACACTTGTTAATTTCTGCTGGTCTCACTTCACAGTCTGGTCTAAAGATAATGGCTAACCTTGGGGATCAGTCCCAGTTGTTACAGACCAAGCTCCCACAAACATCTGAACTGGGAACATCTTTGATCTTGTTTGAAGGGCGGCAGCTTGTGAGTTGTTACAGCTGTGTAACGTGCTGGATTTTACTTCAGTCAGGCCATAAGTTATGGCTGCTGAGCTGTGATTAGTCTCTTGGATTCCCAATACCCAAGTCTATGATTTCATCAGGATTTTCCAGTAGCCTATATCTGCCAAAAAGTATACATTAAGAGGAAACTTATTTCTGTGGAAAGGGTCTCTGCATGGTGCTTAAGACCATGGATTTATTTATTTTATTTAAAGTGGATTAATGCAGTACTGAGAGTTCTGTGTGGTCTCCCTGGTAATTTTACCTTTAAGAGACTAACTTAATTCAAATCTGAGATGCTAACCTACTTTGAGATGACATGGAGTACTGAGTTAAGGAACCACTTGTCATCTTTTGACCCCTTTCAGTGTCAGAATTTAATTGATGGAAATTATAAAAATGTACTCTCATGTCTTCTTAAAAGTAAGAAAAAGTGCCTTGCCAAGAGTTGAAGCTATGTTGGCCATATTACCAGTGCTGCCAGAACTGGTAAATTTGACTTGGCTGTTGTTCTGAATTTCTGACCAAATGGAATTACTTAGATCTGTGCTACTGTTCTGTTCTTCAAGATTATAAATTTCTTCACAGATAGTTGCCACTGCTGTCTGTCACACTGATGCCTATACTCTGAGTGGTGCTGATCCCGAAGGATGTTTCCCTGTCATCTTGGGACATGAAGGAGCAGGAATTGTGGAGAGTGTTGGAGAAGGAGTAACAAAAGTAAAGAAGGGTAAGAAAATATCTTACAAGTTTTCTGCCTTTCTTAAAAGTGTTACTTTATTTCAAGGCCAGCTGTCAAATTGGGCCACTGAAATGCTGAATTGCAGGAGTTAATGTTTTATTCTGCAGTGTATGCCTGTGTGGATTCCTTTGTCTGTGAGATACAACACTAATCTATTCAATGTGCTCTTGGTTTAATGCTTGAAAGAGCCCAGCATATCAATTTCTTGCTCAAAATCATATCAATATGTAGTTAGAAGGCTGTTTTGTTTTTTTTTTTCAAATGATAGTTCTTACCTGTTGGTTTAATAAAAGGCTTAAAGTGTTTATTCATGTTTTTCACGTTGATTTGGGCTTGTTTTGATTTATCGTAACATTTCTATTTGTTCTGGAATGATGAATTTCTGATAGGCTGTCTGCTCAGACATGATTGAAGTGGTTTATCTAACAGTCTATAAATGATATCATTGTGTACTGTAAACAGTTTTTAATACACAAAGGTTTTAAGTGAATAGAAAGTCACATAAAAACATAATGACCATCAAGTAACTTCATTTTTTTCAGAATGCCTTACTTGACTCAATAACTACTCACATGATATTTTTTATCAGGGGACACTGTTATCCCTCTATATATCCCCCAGTGTGGAGAGTGCAAGTTCTGTAAAAATCCTAAAACAAACCTGTGCCAGAAGATAAGGTCTGTATGGCTTTTTTTATTTTTTTGACACACAATTTGTTCAATGTATACCTGTTTTAGTTATTGATAGTAATTGACAGGAGTTTTCTTTGAAGAATAATTCTGTTGATGCATCATTTAATGACTTGGAAAGTACGTCTTTTTGGAGTCAGTTATGCACTATTTTCATTCTTCCTTAATTTTTTTTTCTTTTCTTCCCCTTACATAAATCTGTTTCTCTGTTTTCATGTATGTGAAGGTGCAAACCGCTAGCTTTTGTCCACAGTTTTGAAAACATAACTGCTGTGACTCCATATTTAATCCATATTTAAGGGAAGCTCTTCAGGGAATTTAGCTCTTGGTAATGAACACCAAAGCTTTCAAGCGGTACAAAATTATATAGACAATGCTTTTAACACTTGCTTCCCAGATAGTTTTCCAGCTCTTATTCTGAAGAAAAAGTCTCACAAACCCAAACAAAGGCCCTAGTGACATCACTGACAGGTGCTACTCAAGGGGAGGGTACTGAAGTAGGGGAAGATGGCAGTGTGGTACTGTGGCACAAGCAGTTAGCATTGGTAGCTAACAAGGTCAGCACTTTAGTAAACTCCATTTCTTCCACTGCTTCCATGGAGGAATTAACAACATGAAGTTTTAGGAGTTTAGCATCTAATTTCTGTGAACTCCTAGGTTTATTGAAATGGTTAAAATATAAAGGTGCAAGTATGCATCTGCCTCTCTGCTGCTTAGTGGATACTGTCTGGTGAGAGTATTTACTGCTTAAAACTCTGACTGCACTTTGCTGTCTTTGCCTTAAGAATTACTCAAGGGAAAGGAGTCATGCCTGATGGCACCAGCAGATTCACCTGCAAAGGAAAGCAGATTTACCACTTCATGGGGACCAGCACCTTCTCAGAGTATACTGTGGTGGCTGATATCTCAGTAGCCAAGATAGATGCTGCAGCACCTCTGGATAAAGTGTGCCTGCTGGGTTGTGGCATCTCCACCGGCTACGGGGCTGCTGTTAACACTGCTAAGGTAAAGGTTGTGGTTGTTGTTACATAGCTTAGGGACTAGATTAGGACTGTAAACATCAGGTACCAAATCTATGTTTCTCCTTCCTCTTCAACTGATGAAGTTGAGCTAAGAATTTTTAACTTCTCCATAGAGGCCAGATCAGGTTAAAAGAACCTTGATGCCCTTTTGAGGAAATACAGGTAGAGAATTTTACATCCCTTTTGACACCATCTATATATAAATTACTTTTCCAATTCATCTTCCTCTTGCTGCAAGTCATTATGCTAGTTTGAAGGTCAGGGTGAGACAAAGCTGGTAGGTGAGTGCCCTTGAGTCTAGGGCAGGTTACGGGAGCCAAGTCTTTGAGGACAAAGAAAAGCTTAGTACCTAAAGAGCTTTTTGGATGTAATTTCTATATAGTTTTCCTTATCTAAGTGGTAAAGTCTCATAGCCATATATATTTGCTTCCATTTTTTTCTTTATCACAGGCTTCTTAACCTGTCTTTCCCACTCACGTGGAAGGATGGATTTTTTTCTGCTGCTCATGACTCTGTTCTTATTCTAGGTGGAGCCTGGCTCTACATGTGCTGTCTTTGGTTTAGGAGGAGTTGGGCTGGCAGTTATTATGGGCTGTAAAATAGCAGGAGCATCCCGGATCATTGGCATCGACATTAACAAGGATAAGTACGCCAAAGCCAAGGAGTTTGGAGCTACTGAGTGCATCAGCCCTCAGGACTCCAAGAAGCCCATACAGGAGGTGCTGGTTGAGATGACTGATGGTGGTGTGGACTATTCGTTTGAGTGCATCGGCAACGTTGGAGTCATGGTGAGTGCTGCCTGACAGGAGTGCCTAGAGGGAGGGACTAGGCAGCTGCCACTGGGCTGCTCAGCTAAATAGCAAAATGAGCTGCTTTCTTCTTACAGATAACATGCCATACACATTACATTTTTTTTAAGTAGTAATGATAACTGCTGTGACTAAAAAGGACAACTTATGTTCAATCCTAATTATGTAATGAAAGCAGCTGCTGCTTCTTGGGTTGAAAATGGCATAACTTACAAACTTTTTTCCTTAATGGGACTTCTTTGAAATCCTGAATTTTTGTATGTTGACAGTTGAAAAATTAACAAAACTCACATAAAAGATATTGTACAATGAACAGTAAAATCCCAGGGACCGCTCAGTATTTCTGTCATTCCTCAAGGATTTAATTTCACCTTTGGAAATGCAGAAGTATTACTGAATGTAAGGCTGTGTTTTCAGGAATTACAACAGCATTTCCAACTGCAGTAACATGGTCTGTGATTACAGTTCATCCCAACTCTCAGTGGGAGTTCAGAGTGACTTCTTTGGAAGCCACATGGGATATAAAAAGTGCAAAGCATACCTTTAACAGTATAAGGAATCTGAACCAATGGAAAATTTAATGTAATTTTCAGTGTATTTATTGTTCCTTAAATACTGGTGTGATTAATTAACTGGCGGAAGGGAAGCGCAACCTGTCAAGGCAGCACAGACATTAGCAATAAATGCTCTGCTTTGTCCTGTCTCCTCTTGAAGAGGGCTGCCTTGGAAGCCTGCCACAAAGGCTGGGGAGTCAGTGTGATTGTTGGAGTAGCTGCTGCTGGCCAGGAGATCTCCACACGGCCATTCCAGCTGGTAACTGGGCGGACATGGAAAGGGACCGCGTTTGGAGGTAACTCTCTTTTGGTGTGGGGATAAAAATAATCTTCTATGGGTTAAAGCTGGGAAGAACACACCACCTCATTTTTGCTTGTGCAAGAAATGTACTACTGACAGGCTATTCATAAATGATGTATTGACTTCTGAGATAAAGACTTTTAAAATCTGTTATTCCTACAGACAGGGCACAAATTAACACATTGATGATATCTCACATATTCTAAAGAGAGAATATATCTATATGCTATTCAGTATTAAAGGAGGGGTATACAGAGACTGCTTTATCACCAAGTGAAGATTTGGTTCAGTTTAGTCCAGTGAAAGGACCTAGTCTTTGAGGAGATGGCAACTTGCATCAGTATGTCTGTGTTGCTTAACCACTAAGCAAATTGTGGGGATAACATGAGAATGTGCTATAAAGATCTTTAAAATAAAAAGCAAGAAGTGCTTGATACATATTTTCTGCTATCAACCCAAAACCACATTGAGATTTTTACAGCTGCTGCTAACTTGGGGATTCAGTAATTGCTGAAGTTCATGAAAGTATTCAAATTTGGAATTATTACACTGGTCTTTGTTCAAGTAATACAAAACTTGAGTTATAAAGATACAGGGGGGCTGATAGAGATGCCAAGTGTATGCTTTCCTAAGTGAGGGCTGCTGTTATGTTGAATGCTGAAATAGCTGGTGAAAGATCTGTGCACTTGTATATGGCTAAGGTATGCTTTTGCCAGACCTCTTGCATTCCTGGGGCAGGACGGACTAACATGTCACTCATCTGTGTTTCTTTTTATACTGATCACACAAATGCCTGTGTAAGGGCTGTATTTTTAATTTTCTGAGATGGATGGAAAGGGGAAAAAACAAGGCATGCTTGCTTTCTTTCAGGCTGGAAGAGCGTAGACAATGTGCCAAAACTGGTGACTGACTACATGTCCAAAAAGATCAAGGTTGATGAGTTTGTGACACACACCCTGCCTTTTGACAAAATTAACGAGGCTTTTGAGCTGATGCATTCAGGAAAGAGGTAATGTTCCTAATATTGAAAGGTGTAGAAGACATTTCTTGATGAGACACTGTCAAAATACAGGTTCCCTGCCCACTGTCATGTTTTAAACAGCGAGGCTAAAGTGAGGCATACGCCATGCACATTCATTCTCAGATAAGGACACTTTCTCTGAGCTTCCAGGCACGTGCCAAACACAGGCAGAGAGCAGAAAGCAAGCAACAGTGTATAAGGGAAATACACACCTGTGTAAAGCTGATAAAGGGGACAAGTCAGTCTCACGCTTTCAACATCCCTAGAACATTCTCCCTCATGAAAAGAAATGTAAAGAGAGTAAAGGAGGCTTCACATTAATACATTTTTATTAGTCATTAAGCTATTAGTCTATTTTAATTAAGTAGCAGGTTTCAGTATATTTTTCAAATTACTTAGGGTAGATTACCAGCACAGTCAGTCACTTGAAATGATCTTTTAATATGCTACATTGTAAATTTTTTTTTCCTCTAGTCTGAACTGGGGTAGAAGGTTAATATGATGGGTTTGTACTTCACATACAGGAGTTCCTGCCTTTATTAAGATAAATGGCAATTTGGACTGTTCATACTGCAGACCTAGGCCATAGCTGTATAAACCTTCCTAGTGAGGCCCAACTCCATTACATATTGGAGTGACCCTATTGCTGGTTAAAAAACCTGCTGGACGTGTGATGAGTCTTGCTGCACTTAAAGCAGTGTATGGTGCAAGTACTGATCAACTGCAAAAGCAGTGCAAAGTAGGGTATTCTGATCAGAGGGTATGTTTGCACTAATGCAGGCAACTACGTTTATCCATATTTAGGTTCATCTGCAGATGGATAAATAGTTTATGAGCATTATCTCCAGAAACCAACATGGTCTTTGTACTTGATCTCAATCTATATTTATGTATTGTGTATCACTCTCTCAAAAATAGTAATTTTATCTGCTTAATTTCATGATTCCTATTTTTGGTAAATCAGTTAACATAACTGCATTTGTTACAATTGCAAATGCTGCCTTTACACAAATTTCACAAGCAGTCGCTCCCCTTTCCCTACTACAAACTTCTGTGACATTGCAGTGCTTTATTCTTCCATGAGCATGTCCTAGGAAATTAATAATGAAAGTTATTTAACATTTTCCAAGGAGCCAAGAGAGAATGCTTGTACATATTACTGTTCCTGATCAGTCTTCTTGGCTAGCTACTGAAAACTGACCCGTAGTTTGAAAAAGCATCCATTTTGATAACAAGCATTACAGACCCATTTTTAACCAGGATTTTTAATAAATATTATAAGCATAAGCATAACTTCATTCTTACAAAAGACAGAAGTTAAAATGTGTCAGCAATGAAGGGGAGGGCAGAGATAGGGAGAAAATGGACTTATTGGTAACTTTTTTCTTTTTCTTTTCCATTTCAAGCATTCGAACTGTCTTAAAACTTTAGAGCCAAACATGGATGTAGTTGGCCAGCACCATGGTAACTGCCTTTTTAAAATGGAATTTTTGATAGAGGAGGAATCAAGCAAATGAAAATTCACTGGGACTAGGAAGACTACGTATTTTAGGGTGAGCATTCTGAGTATTAAATAATAAATAATTGTTAACCACTGAATAGCATTACAGAATCAGTCTTGGCTGTGGAACTTCTATTTCTGTACTCCTTCAAATTCAATAGTGGCTAACTCAATCTACTTAATAAAAGCTTATTTCTAAACACAGTGTTGGAATTATTGAGCATTAACAGTGTGACTATGATTGTTGTGTCTTGTTTTCCTCTAGTGATTTTACAGTGTATGTACATGACAGAGGAAGAGCATTCTTCATAGTCAACAGCAAATGATGTGGGATTCACTGCACAAGGCAGTTTGCTGAGCACAGCTGGGGTGAGAAGCAGCATTGTTTTGCTGCACCTGTGCTGAAAGTGGCCAGAACTTCAGCAGTTCTCAAGCTTCTGAGGCTATTCTAGGACTGCAATAGATTGCAGCATCCAGCTCAACCTTGAAGCCAACCGTAGAGCAGAGTGTGGTTGGATGTGTGACTTCAGTGTCCAGGTGTACCCATGTTCACTTGGGAGGTCCATATTTTGCCTTATTTCCCATTTGTCTCATTGGCAAGCCTCTTGTAAAGATCATAGCATAGACTACTCTAGTCACTTGCTCTAGTAGTGTCCTCCAAGACTGCAGTAGGGCAGTTTTGCCATTTCCTTAAAGTTACTGGCAAATGATGCAAACATTGCAGCCAACACTGCAAAAACAAACAGTGTGGAATTGTCACCTCCAGTGAGAAACAGGATCCATGCCACTGAAGCAGGAAATATTACTGTTAGAGCAAGAGTCTGCTCTTAATGGGTGCAGGGGAACAACAGTATAGAACATTGTGTGATGAAGGCTTCAGGGTTTTGTGGGATTTTTTTGTTTGTTGGACGGTAGGAGTTAAGGCTCAATTTTGGAGTTGCAGGTTTTCTTAACTCTAGTTGAAGTGATCTGACTGGATAAATTTCTTTGTATTGAAATGTGGAAGCAGTGCCTTATAGCCAGAAAAACATAGAGGAACAGCAGAAAACAGATTGCAAAGCAGAGGCAGAAAGACCAGCCAGTTAAAGAAAAGTCAGATACATAAAACCTCAGTGTTTTTCAGTGAACCGAGGACACTGATTAAGAGAGAAGTTTCATGTTTTAAGAAGCCTGGTGAGAACAACTGCTACACAGAATGCTGAATGCAAACCATAATCTTATTAGAAGAAATTCCTCTCACCACTTACAACTACAAGACACTGCTCTACAACAGGGAAAATTACATCTTTTCCATCTGTCATTAAAAAGATATCCCTAGAGCATTCTGAAAATAGTTGAGGTAGCTGCATTTCTAACTTCATTTCAGACTGCAAAGAACAAATGTGAATGTCATAAGAATTCAATTTTGAACATCAGGAAGAAATAAAAAGTGGATTTGTACCAGGAAAGTGAGTCCTCCAACACAGCAGTGAACTGATTCTCAGTACCTTGTAGCTCTAGAAAGGCTGGCTGAACATCAGAAAATTCAGTAGGCTACTTGCTGTTAAGCTGTTCCTGCAGGAGTACTCTATAAATACAAGATGGGATCAATACAATATTAGCCCAACATCTTGGCAAACTACTGCCCGCTAGATCTAACAGATTTAAAATACTTATACTGGAACAGTTGTTCCTCTATGCTGCACAGACTAGATCAAGGCCACACAACCATGTCTGCTTTACATTATTACTTCAGAGAATCTGCATCTCAGAGTGTTTGTGGTGATGGTAAGTGAACAACAAAGACATTTAGTAATACCAGAGCACTTGGGTCAAAGACGTGCAGCTTCTTCCCAGCTTGAAGAACTGATGTCCTGTCCACGGTGTAGCTGAGCTTCCAGACTACTCTGTCCTGCAAAGCACTGGATTGAATGGAGCATGTTTGAAATAGTTTTTCTGAAGTTGTTGATCAAACAAAAGGACTCAAACACAAGAGCTCATATTGCATGTTTGATGGTCAAGGTACTGTAATGAACTGCACCATCTAGACAATGGTAAGAACTTTGGTGGACAAAAATTTTCCACCAAATGACTGTATGTGAAACGTGCATGTACTCTGCTGGCTGTCATGTAAAATACGCAGTTTTTCCCCTCTCCTCATGCTGTTACTTTTATTCAACACTGTCAAATCTTCTGTCCTTAAATATTCATGTCAAATTGCAGAAACAGCATGAAGAATTTCCACAGTCTCTTACATGATAGCAAAGGGAAAATATTTTAAGAGATTGAACTAATTGTAGGATCATGTTTCTGGCAAAATTGTATATAATTTCTAAAAATGGCATTAGAAACCAGATTTAAGTTGGGGTTTGTATTTAAGTGGATAGCAACTTACATAAGAATCAAAAATATTTAATTTCCCCAGTCCAGTCAGCACAAGTCTAATATGTCATGTTCAAGCAAAGACACAGATGGGTGAAAAATAGCTTTTCACAATGTTTTTATTTAGTAAAGTTTTGTTCTGTGATGTGCCATCTCCTGTTGAAAGAACTGGTATAGATGCTAACTAAGCTTTCCACTCTTTTAAAAATACTGTAGTAGTATGGAATCAGTATAAGCAGTTATCATGCTGTGATTTCCATTTATAGGCAGAAATGCATAGCATCATAGATTGCCTGTATTAAAAATGTGCAGAGCTAAATTTGGTTGTATTGGTGCAACAACAAAGAGGTATTCAAGTGGCACATGTGTGGGTTTAAGGGTGAGTTTTAAATGGTTGCATGCACCTGCCAGTGCAGCTTGCACTACTGCAAGCAAACCTGGATATAACTGAGAATTCTGTGTCTGGTTTTGGATTACCAAGAGAAAAGAAAAAAAAAGAAAAGAAAAAAAAAAAAGGTTCTTTCTGTTAAAAGCAGCTGCAACTTTTATTTTATAGACCAAAAATGAAGCCCCCCCCCATCATACACACACACATAGAAAAGGCAAGACCGTTGTAGCCATTCAAGTGAATGATATGGTGGGCAAACCTCCAGGACAGTCATCTCCCCAGTACATCTCATTCAACACAGGTAATTCCACTCAAGTACTACAGTCTGTTTTGTTAAAAATCTATACACACACACGCATATGCACACACACACGCTCTATATGCATCATTTCAGGTCACTTTACTGCATAATTAAAAATAATAATAAAGGTAATGAAAAGACCGCAATGATACTCTTACAGCAACAGAGGTCTGAGGCACTCAGGGCAGAGAAGACATTTTCTGGCAAATTTGGGAGTACACGAGTCCCGTTCTGTGAAGCACTAATTAACCCCTTTTCCCTAATTACCTAAATTCTGCAGTGCCACGGGGAGCCAAGGGTATGCAGTACTTCATGTTCTTGGGTCTGTGGCAACAAATCCACAGTACACCTTGTAAAAGGTGTATTTTGTGCCCCATGATTGTATGATTTAATGTCTGCATTGGTTTATTTCTTGCATTACAGTGGTGTAAGACTAAGTCTGCAATGGGGTCTGAAAAATTTTTAATTACAATTCAGAAGAAAAAACAAATCCCCTCAGCAGAGAAACTAAAGATTATGGAAGGGAAATGAGCATGGGGAAAAAAAGGGTGGAGAGAAGAGAGGTCTAATCAATCCACTCTCCTTAACATAAGTTTCCAGCTCATCATGACCCATTAAAAAAAATAAAGGGGTATATATACTAATACTGCCCACTCTATACCCAGTTTGAGGAAAAAAGATCAGTTTTCATAGCTGCCCCCCTAAGACTTTCCAAAAGCATGAAACTCACTCAACTGAGGGGGGGGAAATGACCCGTTTAAAAATTACCAAAAGAAAACAAATACAGCATTGAACACATTTCATTTTCACACACTCAGACTGGTTTTGAGATATATACTCATTTCACTGTAAGTCTTGCAAATCCACTCCCCCACAGCTACTGTGGATGTACCTTTAAAAAATGCCCCACAGCTAACACACGTAGGGATCCCATGAATCATGGGATCTTTTTGGTTCTTGTTTCATTCCTTTACCTAGGCAAGTCTGATACATCAGCTTCACCAAGCTTTTGGAGCGGGAGGCTGCCTGTAAGTACCGCTTCGCCAAGAAGCAGCTTATTCCAGGGAGCTGCATATAGAACAGAATTTATTAATTTTCTCTGTAGGAAGCCCATACTATCCAATCTCCATCAAGAGAAACAAGTCCTGCCATTAACACAGTGTGTCACCTACAGCTGGAATCACCACAGAAGCCATCAGCAGAGAGATGGGGACAGAAGTAAGGTAGCCTGCTCTCAGAAGTGTGTGTCTTTCTCCCTTCTGCCCCCTTCTCAACTGATAAACAAACAAGGCCCAGCCTATTAGAACAGTATCTGCAGAAGCAGGAGCAAGTCTTTGGAACTAGAAATGCTTAAAATCTCAGGTGCCACTCATATGCCAAGAGCAACAGGGCACACTGAAGTGGTGAAAAAAACCTGGATCCCAAAATATCAAGTCCCAGTGGGAAAGGTTACCCACACTTTTCTAGCTAATATCATGGCAGCAACAGAAGCAATTGTGGGTCTAATTGGAAGAAAGGTGCTAAAGAGATAATTAAAGAAAAAACAAAAATATAGTGTGAATGTTGTAGGTAGGAGGAAAGAAGAAGATTCTTTCCATTCTTCTCTGCTTTTCCAGACATTGGGTCAGGTTCTTCAAGATATTCCTCTTATCTACAATCACTGAGAACAAAGTAAAGGATGAAATCTTTCTATTCTGTACTCTTAAAAAAATGCATAGTACAGAGACAATAAAAAGTATGCATCGTTCCGATCTCCCTGCTCAGCCTGGGGTCTCACTGGGACATGAAATGGGGACGAATGCTATCCAGCCGCCGGGTCAGGATCTCACAGCCTGTGTCGGTGACCAGGAGTGTGTGTTCAAACTGGGCCGATCGCTTTCCGTCTCTCGTCACCGCAGTCCAACCATCAGGCCATGTCTCATCTTGCCAACCACCTAAAAACAGAAATGGTGACTTTCTGCCAGTCTTCAAGTAACAGGTAACAGTTCCCCAAAGAGAACTGGAAAAATCTGCCAACTATACAGAATAGAACCAGCATCCTATTCCATCACTACTGAAGGGTAAACAAGAGTAACCATTTTATTGCTAAATTGCTCACCTTCACAGATCATTGGTTCAATTGTAAATACATGACCTGGCTTCATGACTCCAACT